GCTCCAGTTGCCCATGTGCCAGTTGCTCCAGTTGTGCCGTGTGTCTGCAGCTTCCGCCATCGCCTCCCATCTCCTCTCCTGTCACAGTCCCTCCTCCTCCTCACTTCCCCTCTCCTTCTCCTGCGCATGGTGTACCCCTTCAGGGGGCGTTGAGTGCACATTGCCGAGAACAGAAGACGAGCGGGTAGCCCGCCACGAAACAGAGCCGAAACCAAGGCTGAAGGTGTAACCCTTTGACGACCACTACGTAGCCTGGTCGTCAGCCCAAGAAGCGTCTGAAAGTAGTCAACTCCCTGCCGCTGACTGAAGCCACGAGCCACGTAACGCGCCTTGAAGACAGGCGGAGAACCAAGTGGCCGCTTCACCCTGAAAATCCACATGCCACTGACGATGTTCGCCCCAGACGGGGGAACCTCTTCAACGTAGGTGCCTGTGGACTTCCAGGAAGCCATCTCTGCGTCCATAGCTGCCTGCCACTGAGAGGAGTAGGGACCCTCTATCGCCTCCGCGTAAGAGCGCGGAGTCGGGATGTCAAGTGCATCCGGGTCTCCCTCAGGGGTAAGCAGTACGGACACGAGATGAGGTGAAGCAACAGCCAAACACTGGAACTCCTCCTGCCTGTCCTCAAGGAAGTCCGTGCCAAGGGCACACTCACCCCCGACGGACGGAGGATAGATAGACTCAGACTCAGCAACAAGACTAGCAGCGTAGTCTAGACGACAGCGAGCAGCAAAGTCGACGAGCTCAGCAACTAGGGCAGACGCAGCAGTGGACTCAAAGGAAGGGTCGGTGACAACAGAAGCAAGGAGACGCGTGACAGTAGGACTGGCAGCACGAAAAGAGTCTGACTCCGGGTCGGGAAGAGCAGGAAGAGAGGACTCAGGGGGAGAAGGCAAAGGGGCACGCAGAGGAGCAGTGGACGGACGCAGAGACATCCGGTGCGTGCCAGGGACAGGAGGAGGACACTGACGCGAACCACGACCACTAGTGCGAGCAGCACGGACAGGCAACGCAGGGCGAGACGCAGGCTCACGACGCACAGCAAGACCTCCAGTAGGACTAGTGTAGGGAGAAGGAGCAGGCAGTGGGGAGGCCGGCTGTAACTGTAACTGTGACGGGACAGGCTGTGGACACTCTAAGGGAGGAGGAGGACCAGTAGAAGGCGGGAGACCAAGAACCTGCTCAAGGAGCGGAACGAAGTACGGTCGAGACCGCGCAGCGACTCCAGACACAGCAGGGACAGCACCAGTACCCCCAGTGGTAGCACCAGCTCCAGAAGCACCTCCAGCAGCACCAGTAGCACCCCCAGCAGGACCGCCTCCAGGACCGACAGCAGTAGTCTCAGCGCCGACACCCTCAGTAGCTCCAGCTCCAATCGTACCCGCAGGCCCAGCAGCTCCAGTACTCCCAGTACGAGCACCTCCGGGACCCGCGGCAGCAACACCCTCAGCAGCCGAAGAACCTCCAGCTCCAGCAGCGCGCCTCCAACGCCGGGCAAACCACTCGCGCAGCTCCTGTGGAGAGAGTGGCTCCCGCAAAACCAAGCACCCGGAGAACCTCCAGGCACAGCACCGCCAGACGCCACACGAGCAGGTCCAGCTACCTGAGGCTCCGCACCCCCAGAATCAGCACCTCCAGGCATAGCACCCCCAGGCTCAGCACCCCCAGGCGTAGCACCCCCAGACTCAGCACCCCTTGGCGTAGCACCCACACGCTCAGCACCCCCAGAGTCAGCACCCCCAGGCTCAGCACCCTCAATAGCACCACAGTCACCAGCAACCTCCACAGGCTCAATGGCGTCTACCTGGGACACACCTGAAGGGGCAGGACCCTGAGGGGGAAGCCAAGGAAGACGCAGCGAGCAGCACGAGGGGAAAGCTTGTCCGCAGACAAGTCGCGGACAAACGCCCGAGATCCCAAGACACGGAACGCAGACGCATCGCCAACCTTCCCCGTCCACAGTAAAGCTGGGGAGGTCTCCGGCATGGAGACCCTGGGGTGAAGGTTGATCTGATGCGCCGCGTACCGAACCGCAAACGGCCACAGAAAATGGGGGGCAGCCGCATGCATAATGAACATACGGGCGACGTCCATGACCATGCCAATGCGGCGCTCAGCAATCCCATTTTTCTGTGGAGAGTCTGGAAGCGTGAAGGTCTGGCGGATGCCTCGTGCACGACAGTAGGCTCGCAGAAGGCCAGAGGAGAACTCTCCGCCTCTGTAAGAGTGCAGACGCAGAACACGAAAGTCCGAGCCAAAGCTCTGCCTGAGCTGGAGACGAGCTGCGCGGATCCAGTCGATCAACACCTCAGTGACATCACCCTTGCTGCGCAAGGGGAAGACTGTGGTGTAACGCGAGTAGTCGTCAACCACCAGCAGGAAGTAGCGCTCGTGACCCTGTCCACAGACGCGGGCCGGGCCCCACACGTCCATATGAAGCGTCTGCAGCGGGGCCTCTGTCGGAGGAGACTGGGAGGAGTGAGGGGCAGCCTGCTGTCGCCCCTCGACACAGGGGACGCAGGTGGGGGCAGGCCCCGGAGGAAGGGGAGGGAGGGACCGGGGAAGCCCAGAGACAAGGACACGGGAGACCATGCCTCGGAGACGAAGCAAGGAGGGGTGACCAAGGCGGTGGTGCCAGAGGAGAGTCTCGTGAGACAGGAGGCGACACGAGCAGGGGGCGGACTCAGGACCAGACCTGGACGCTGCAGCAAACACCAGACCCGACGCAGCTACCTGACCAGACGTAGTGACTGGGGAGACTCAGTGGTCAGTGTGTACAGGCTCGACCCCGGCCGACGTGTAAACGTGGCCAAGTGCCAACCCGTCCGAGAGTCCGTGCAGTGGGTCACCCGCTGGCTCGCAGGAGTGAACTGGTCAACCCCCGCATCCTGTAGGTCAGCACCACTCACCAAGTTCGTAGAGAACGAGGGGAGGTAAAGACCAGACAGGGTGCCAGAGGGGGCCGCCGGACACGGGAGGACAGTGGAAAAGTGAGCAAGGACAGGACCCCTAGAGGGGTCTGCCAGAGAGACTGCAACTGGCCGACCAAGCGGCGTAAGTGTGGTGTGGTCTCGAAAGAAGGAGCGAGAAGCCCCCGAGTCAAGGCTGAAGGTGTGTGTGGCCGAAGCCGACGCAGTACCTGAGAGAGCAGACTCACCAGCACCTGAGGAAGCAGACGCACTAGCACCTAGAGCAACAGTCTTGCTAGCACCTAGAGCAGCAGCCTCACCAGTACCTAGAGCAGGAGTCCCAATGCCCCGGTCGGGCGGAAAACACCGGTAACAGTCACCCACATCACTAATAGTCACAGCATACATGGCAGCAAGAATAGCATCAAAATCAAGGTCAAAGATAGCTACTCCCGCCCTAGACAGCTCGCCCCAGCGAGGGATCTCAGTGGCCTCAGGGAACTGGTGACGCCAGGCGTCCGTCAGGCGGCCAAAGCAGCGCGGGGTGGGGTGCGCACCCCCGTACTTCTCACCTGCGCGGTCGCCGGTGCGTAGGACGTAGGTGCACGGACCAGTACCCCCACCCCGCTGGCGTGCAGCGTACCACTCACGAAGCTGCTGAGGGGGGGGGATCTCACGAGTACGCTGCTGCTGCTGCTACTGCTGGCGCTGACCACCACCGGAGCCGACCCTCTGCGCAGCGCCAACCCGACCAGCTCCACCTCCTCCACCGCCGCATCCTCCACCGCCGCCACCTCCGCCACCTCCGCTCCCACCGCCTCCGCCGCCGCCGCCTCCGCCTCCACTGCCGCCACCTCCACCCCTGCCACCACCCCCACCGCCACCCCCACCCCTTCCGCCGCCTCCACCACCGCCTCCACCGCTCCCGCTAGCTCCTCCAGCGCCCCTGCCCCCCTTGCCCTTACCAGGGCGGCGTCTCCCGCTAGGGGTAGACGCCGCACCGACCGACTCAAGACCAACGAGGTCGGCCGCAGCAGGAGAGGCAACAGAGGGCAAGAGAGGAGAGGGGGAGCACCCCTCAAAGAGAGGGGCGCGAGGGTCACCACGAGAGGCTCCTACAGCGACGATGCTCTTCTCTGCTGCTAGGAGGCGCTCCTCGAGGAGGTCAACGGTGAGCGTGGTGGGGCAAACAGAGAGAAAGTGGTCCCTGACCGAGCAAAGGGTGTCAGGGAGCCGGGTGACTATGTAGTAGAGGGTGATGTACATAGGGGGGGGGTTCTTGGCGCAGAACTCAGCGGAAAGGGCAGCGCGGTAGCGAATGTCACTAGTGCGAAGGTGCGTAATGAGGTCAGCGACTGTGGGAAAAGCTGCGAGGTCAGGGAAGAGGTACGGCAGGATGAGGCGGCTAAGTGCAGCAGTGGCAGGGGAAGAGTAGCGTGCAACTATAGCGTCGTACAAGGTCTTAGCACTCTTGTACTGGCTAAATTTCGCACGCTCAGAGGTAGGCAAGTAGCGACGCACAGCAAGACGTGCAGCAGCATCGCGTGTGGCCCACTGTGAGCGAACAGTGGCATCAGCAGCAGCAGCAGGGGCAGGAGAGGCACCAAAAGTGAGGTCAAAGAGGGAGAGACCGTCTGCCCTATCGCACTGTAGGAAAAGCTGCAGGTCATCTACCTAGACGTCAAAGTCAATGGCCCGACCCTCAGCGTCAAAAGCGAGGACACTGGGGGTAGCCATGACAGCAGTAGACTAGCAGTGGAGCAGCAGGCTAAGGGCAGTGCAGTGGCGGACGTGCTGCTCTTACCGGGCAAGCGAGAAGGACCGAGGCTCGCCAGCAGGAACGGGGCCGCGACCGCAGTGACAGGGTGTAGCAAACAGGGCGGCTCGGCGGCTCGGGAGTACCAGCGACTCAGCAGCAACGGCGGCTTGGGCGGCTCGGTGGCAATGGCGGCTCAGGCGGCTCGGCGGCAACGGCGGCTCGGGCGGCTCGGCGGCAACGGCGGCTCGGTGGCTCGGGCGGCTCGGCGGCTCGGGCGGCTCGACTGCTGCAGTGGCAGCGGTGGCTGCTGTAGGGGCAGCGACGGCTACTGCTCAAGGGACGGCGGTGGCCGCTCCTGCAGGGACGGCGGCGGCCGCTGCTGCAGAGACGGCGGCGGCCGCTGCTGCAAGGGCGGCGGGTGCTGCTGCAGGGGCAGCGGCTGCTGCTGCTGCGGGGACGGCGGCCGCGGCCGCTGTAGCGACTGCGGCTGCTGTTGCTGCAGAGGCGTCGACGGCGGGCTGAGAGAGGCCGCGAAGGGCGGCGGACGAGCCGTGAAGGTCAGCACGAGGGGCCGCGGAGGGCGGCGACCGGCCGTGAAGAGGCCGCGAGGGGCGGGCGGGGGGGGGGGGGGGGGGGGGGGGGGCAAGGGCGGCACGAGGGGCCGCGAAGGGCGGCTCGAGGGGCCGTGGAGGTCGGCGACGGGCCGTAAGGGCGGCGCGAGGGGGGAGGCGCGAAGGGCGGCGACGGGCCGTGAAGGGCGGCGCGAGGGGCCGCGAAGGGCAGCGACGGGCCGTAGGGGGGCCGTAAGGGCGGCACGAGGGGCCGTAAGGGCGGCGCGAGGGGCCGTAAGGGCGGCGCGAGGGGCGGTAAGGGCGGCTGGATGGGCCGTCAGAGGGGCCGCTAAGGGCGACGCGAAGGGGCCGTAAGGGGCCTAGAAAGGGCGCGACGGTAGGGAGGGCACGCGGGGCGCGACTCGGGCGGGAGCGAAGCGCGCTCCGGGCAGGGAAAAAAAAAGTTCGATTGGGTGGGCCCTAGGAAGCGTTCCCACGAGGGAACCCGCTCATTACCATGTGAGAATTACGAGGAATGAAATGACTAAGGGAGTGTTGGGTACAAGTACAAACCCTAGAAAGCTGTACCCCATATGTGCTACCCCACTATAGCCAACAGTAGCTATGTCATATAAATCTGACACTAGGAACTGCTGCAACTCGTTGACGTTCTCCGGAACCTTCCACCTCTTGACGGATTCGATCTTCCAGAAGTCCACGTGTAAGCCTCGACACTCACCATGTGCACGAGAAACCGCACCTTCTTCAGAGCGAAGTCGCTTTTGGACAGCTTCACGTAGAATTGGTTCACGTAAGACTTTCGGAAGATCCTCCACGTGCTCCTTTAAAAACATTTAGTAGATAATAATGTCATCCATGTATACTACCACGCACTCGTCCAGCAGGGGCCGTAAGACATGATTAATTTCTGTCTGGAATGACACTGGTGCATTCAGAGTCCGAGCGACATCACTATATATTCGTAGGATCCATATCTGGTTTGGAACGCCGTGTTGTGGATCGAATTATCAGCGACCACTCTGCAGCGCAGTGCTCCGCCGCCTCGACGGCCTCTACCGTGCACGCTGGGGTCCTTTGGCGACCACCCCGTGCTGCGCTCGCCTTCTAGCCCGTAAGATTCCTGTATTTCAACTGTCTATGGATGATGCTCGTCAATATGCTTTGTATGCTGATGTTGACTATAGCACTGATGGATCTGTGAGCTCGCGTGTTCGTAGTCTAGGATGCTTGCCTCCTGTTAGTGTAGACCTGTGCTTCTCTAGTCTAGGTGCTTGTGTTTCTGCTCTAGGTGCTTGTGTAGCCTCCAGACCTGACACGCCTCCGGCTGAGGCGTCTCTATCGTTCACGCTGGACTCTGGCACGTCGCAGTGTTTCTTCCGCGACCACACGACCCTCACACCACTCCTTGCTCCAGTTCCCAGTTACTTTCAAACCCCGACACCAGAACCTCAAACGTTTGCTCATTACTGTCATACTATGTTTGTATTATTAGATAACCTCTAATGAGTTGCATGTTAGGGGGTACAAAACTTCTCTTGACACTTTGCTTATATCCCCCCACCTTTAACCTCATCATCACCATTCTCGTTAGTTCCTAAGCCCCTTAGTTCTAAGATGGTATCAGCTAGACGTTCGTTCCTAGACTAGTGAGTAGCTTTGTAACACGCTCCGTCACGTCACACCCCCTAGCCTGCCCCATAACGCGTGCCCAGTTAGCAAGCCTCGCCCCGTTCCGTTCACTGGCCCGCCCCTCATTCGTTACGCCACTAATTCGTATACGCCCCGCCCCGTTCGGTTACCTCGCACGCTGCCCGCACGCATGATCCTCGCGCATAGCTCGCGCGCGCCTCTTGCACGCGCAGCCCGCACGCACAACCTCGCACGTTCCTGCAAGCGCATTGCTGCCTGCGCAGCAGCATTGATGCGAGCAGCCGCAGCTGCATGCATAGCCGCGTATACAGCAGCAGTGTGCAGGAGCAGACACGAGCACGCACGCCACTACACGCGTACGAGCAACAGCCGCCCGCGCACACAGCAGCCACTGCACGCACGGCTTCAGGAACAGCTGCACGTGCCTATGCAGCCACTCACGCGCATGCACTGCAGCAGCCGCACCCACGTGCGTTTAGCAGCAGCAGCAAGCGCAACAAAGGCTGCACATGCCTCAGCATCTGCAGCGAGCACACCAGCTGCAGCCCGTGCTACAGATTCCGCTCCCAACCTCTCCTACCCGCCCCTCACCGCTCCTAACCGCTCCTTAGCGTTCCTCACCGCCCCTAACACCTCATACCCGGCCATATCCGCTGCTCACCGCTCCTATCCGCTCCTAACCGCCTCTAAGCGCTCCCAGCCACCCCTAGACCATTTCTAACCACTCCCGACCGCACTCCACCGCATTGAACCGTACCTGACCACTCCCCACCGCTCTAGACAGCACCCACCCACACCTTTCCACACGTGTAGCACCTTCCTAATTCCTACTACCACTGGCGTTCCACCCACAGCGGCTGGCGGGTGCAGTACCCTCTACTAGCATGACCTAGGCTCGGCCCCGTGTTCTGAGTAGTGTTCCTAGCCTCGCCCCTCTGACTTCATTCGTTCCTCGCCTCGCTCGGTTCTCGATTAGCTCTCAAGCCTCGCTCCTTACTTGTTTCGGGTCATTCTAACCTCGCCACTCTGGCTTAGGTCGCTCCTAGCTAAGGTCGTTCCTCGCCTCGTCTCTTCGGGCGCCATACTACCTCACTCAATTCTAGCTCCGGCCACTTCTAGCGCTGCACTTCTAGGCCAGTAGTTCACTCGTTATGGCGGCCCCCCGTGTACTGCGATTTGATGCTGAGGATAGAGTCCTAGAGTTCCCCTCCTGGCTTATCCGTGCCAAGCACTTTCTCAAGAGCCAGTAGAAGACAATGATATGCTCTGGGCGCACGCCTCCGGTGACCTGCCTGAGCCTCCCTCCCCTCCTGCCCTGGGTGCTGAGCCTGATGAGGCGGCCCAATCACGCTTCAATAATGTCCATACAGCTCATTCAGTGTGGCAGTCGCATGATGTTGCGGCCTGCATTGCCTTCACCAGCCTTCTCCCCGAGACTGGGAGGCTCACATCTCTCATGTTCGATTCGCCAAGGAAATCCTCGCTACAATTAAGACACATTTTTCCACTTCCACCTTCGCCTCTCTCGATCGCCTCTTTCTGCCGTTTCTCTTTCCTGACCTAGGCGCGTTTGACTGCGCTGCTGATTTTATCACCCACCTGCGCGCGCTAGACGTCAGCTACCGTGCTGTTTGTACGGAGGCTCATCTTGCATTGCTCCCCCCGCCCATGGTGATCACTATTCACTTCATCGCCACTAGCCTCCTTGACCGCCTTGCACCTGTCCGTGATGAGCTTCTTCGGAAGCACCCTAGTTAGCTCACCATCGATGTCCTTGGGACTGCTCTCAAGGACATCGAGAGCAACATCCGCTCCGTTGCCTCTGCCTCTAGAACCGTAGTTCCCTCGCTCTTTCGGGGGTGCATTGTCCCACAAATTCCCACCTTCACTGCTTCTCTTGCCTCTACTACGTCTCCTTCTACTATGGAGACTGTGGCCGTGTCCACTGTGGGTGGGCGGTCCGGTGGTAAGGGAGGTAAGAGGGGGGAAGGGTGGTGGTGCTGGTGGTGGTGGTGGCGGGGGTGGCAGAGGACCTAGTGATACTAGTGCGTCCGGCGGAGGCGACACCAGGGAGCAGCCCTGCGCCTGCGGGCCCAACGGGAGGGGGTGCTGGTGCAGCTGCATGGTACACGGCACAGTGGCAGCATCAATACCAACAGCAGCAACCACAGCCAGAACAACCGCAGCAGGAGGGACAGCCGCAGCAGCGGGTTCAGCGGCAGGTGCAGCAACAGCCTCAGCAGTGGGTACCTGGTGGACCAGGGAGCGCAAGTCATGGCGGTGGTCCGCCCAGCTTGGCATCACGTGGTGTCACTCCGCCTCCCTGCCCGTACGTGTTCCAGTCGTGCGGGTCTCCGCTGTGGCCATTTCTACGCTCCGAAGTCCCCACAGCAGAATGGGGTTGCTGAGTGCCATAGGCTTGGTCATGGAGATCGCTCGCACCTCCATAATACATGCCCGTGCACCCCATTTTCTGTGGCCCAACACGGTTTGCTACGCCGCCCACCGGTTGAACCTCGGGTCTCGTGTCTCCCGGCCAGGGGCTTCACCGACCGGTTTTTGGACCAAGTCCCCTACTGTTGATTCGGTGTTTCGTGTATGGGGCTGCCTTGCGCTTGTCCGTGACACCTCTGCGAACAAGCTCTTGGCTCATGCCATCCCCTGTGTCTTCCTTGGTTTCCCGGTAGGCTCCTCTCACTACACCTTTTACCGCCTGCCCCTCCACTGGTTCCTTGACTCTCATGTCGTCACCTTCGAGGAGTCTGTGTCCTACTACGCCCTCTACCCCTCTCAATGTCTTCCGTTTCCCTCCCCCCCTCCACTCTTCCTTGCCCCCTCTTCTCCTCCTTCTCCCGCTCCCCTTGTACACCCGCCCCCTGGGTCGTGCCCCATCTGGTGTATCCCACGCTACCCCTCTTCCCTCGGTAGCACGTCAAGTATCGTCTCCTTCCCAACAATCGTCCTCACAGTCACCGCAGCAGCCTTCGGCACTACCGCGACATGTTGTAGTAGACTCTGGGGGTGTTGGTGTTGGGGGCACGGGCGCTGGCGGTGCTAGCTCTCATGGTGCTGGAGCTCAGGGTGTTGGCGCTTGAGGTGCTAATTCTGGAGGTGCTCGCGCTGAGGGTGCTGGCCATGGCAGTGCTAATTTTGGGGGTGCTCGTTTTGGGGACACTAGTTCTGGGGGTGCTGAAGCTGGAGGTGCTAGTTCTGAGGAGACTAGAGCTGGAGGCAGTGCTACTGCGGCGCTGACCCCACCTCTCCACCGCTACCCGACGAGTTTCCAGAGACTTCTTCAGCTGGAGCACGAGGAGTGGGAGCGATTGGAGCAAGAGAGGCTGGAGCTGGAGCGGTAGCCGCAGGAGCTGCAGCAGCTGCTGCTACTGGTGCCGCCCTTGCAGACCTGTGAGTGGTCTTCAGGCCCTTGGCCTTCCTTCCACTCCTCCAAACCGCTCACTTTCTCCTGCTTACGGTCCTATGTTTCTCACCCCGGACCCATCTGTGATTGTTTTCTCTCCTCCTCGGTCACCGTCGTCTCCTCTTGTTGTCCCAACGACTAGACAGCTCGTTGTCCCGCTCGTGCACAACCCTCGTCTCATTTTGACAACCTCTGCACCGTCTTACTTCGTTTAAGTGCTCGTCATTCTCCACCTCGGTCTGTTCTCCCGTCACCTCCTGGGTCATCTCTTACTGCCTCCACCTCTACCCCTATCACTGACTATTACCGTGCCTCTTGTCCTGTTATCACTCATGTTCTTGTGTCTCTAGTCCCGGACCCTCATGCCTCTCTGTCGTCTGTCTCGGCTCTTACTGCCACTGTCTCTGACTTTGCTGCCACTCGCCGCCTTGACTACGCCACCTGTGTGGTAGCTGCCCATCCTATGTCCGCCATGGGTGAGTCTTCCCTTGGCTGTGACGTCCTAGAGGATAGGCAATTTGAGCTAGAGTTCTTGGCAGCCTCTTCTTCCAATCTCTGTCCATCCTGCTAGCTCCTAAGGGAGACCCCGACGCCTTTGACATACCGAATCTTTGCACGTACCATGAGGCAGTGTCAGGCCAATGGGCTTCTTAGTGAATAGCGGCCATGGACTCGGAGATGGCGTCTTGGAGATCTACAAGCACTTACGTCGACGTAGTTCCCCCACTTGGTACGAACGTAGTCGATGGCATGTGGATCGTCAATGTGAAGCGGCCTGGATCACCGCCTGTCTTCAAGGCGCGGTACGTGGCTAGAGGTTTTAGTCAGCGTGAGGGAGTTGACGTCTACCAGACCTTTGCCCCGACCTTGAAGAGGACTACTCTTCGGGTGTTACTTCACGTAACAGCACATTGAGACTACGAGTTGCACTCCCTCGACTTCTCCACGTCCTTTCTCCAGGGCCGCCTATACGAGCAGATCTGGCTGGGCCACCCTCCTGGCTTCATTGGCAATTTCCTGCCTAGGACCCAGTGGAGCCTGAGGTGACCAGTCTACGGTCTCCGCTAGGCGCCCCGTGAGTGGCACGACACGCTGCACACCACTCTTGCTACCCTTGGGTTTGGTCCTTCGTTCGCCGACGCGTCGCTGTTCGTTCGTTCTGGGTCCACACATTTCTTCGTCCTCATCTACGAAAACGACTTCGTCTTTGCTACAAAAGACAGGGCCGCCCTGGCTGAGGTGAAGTTCGAACTGCAGAAAAGACACACGTGCATTAGCCTTGGTGAGCTGCGCCGCTACTTTGCCTTGTAAGACACTAGGAAAAGAGCCACTTGCACCATCACACTCTCACGGTCACACAAGGTGCAACAGGTCCTTCAACGGTTAGGGCTTCATTTCTCCACCATACAGCCCACTCCTCTCGCCGTTGATCACACACTCACCGGCCCTTTTTCCGACGAGTCCTTTGAGTCTAGTGGCCCCTACATAAGGTTGTGGGCTGCCTCATGTACCTGATAAGTACTCGTCCGGACCTCACCTTTTCCCTCAACGTCCTCTCTCGCTTTGTAGCGACTGGGAGACACTGTCTTGTTCACTGGACAGCTCCTGTGAGGGTGGCGAAGTACCTGGCGATTACATCGGGCATGGGGCTTGTGCTTGGAGGGCCACAGCCAGTTGTGCTGACCAGTCACTGCGACTCTTCCTACACCATCAATGTGGAGACACAGAGGTCTTCTTAGGGGTATGGCTTCAGCTTTGGCACCGAAGCTGTGTCAAAGAGGTCCACTCGCTTGTCGTCTATGGCATAGTCTAGCGCAGACGCAGAGATCTACCTTAGTGCCATGGCTGCGCAGGAGCTTCGCTGGTCGACCTTTATTATCACCGACCTTGGTGAGCGGCCGAGCTCTGCACCGACCTTGTTCAATGACATCAAGGCCATGATCCTCCTATGTCGAGAGCCTCAACTGGAGAGCAGAGTGAAGCATATCGACGTCATGTACTTTCTTCCACGAGAGCTGCAGTGACGCGGCCAGGCACGTTTGGACTTGCTGACCTTAGCGGCCAACAGTGCAGACGTCTTCACCAAGGCACTTCCGCTTGGTGATCACCACAGGTTATGTCTGTAACTAGGCCTTGTTGAGGCAGGCCCTCGGTTACTGCAGTCTTGCCTCTTGTTTCTTGCTCTGCTTGTTCTTGCCTTTATATATGCTTGTGAACCCTTGAACTGGCCTTGTGGCCGTTTGGTTGTGCTCAGACTGCTTTATGACTTTGTGATCTACCCTGAGCTTTGTCTTGCTGGACTGACCTTGTGACGGTTTGTTTACTCTGCTTGCTTTGATGCCCCTCACTTAGCCTATGGGGGGTGTGTCAAACTATGTTTGTATTGTTAGATATGCTCTAGTACCGGTAAGTTGCATGTTATGGGGTGCAAAACTTATCTCGACACTTTGCTTGTATCCCCCCCCCCCTTTGACCTAATCATCACCATTCTCTTTAGTTCCTAAGCCCCTTAGTTCTAAGAATTACAACTACCAACTTTGCCTGTAATGTTCTCTTATGCCTTCACTCACATTTGCATTCTTGGACCTAGATGAGCATCTCTTGGCTTGCACAATTGCAAACACTAGGACCAGTATGAAGTGTAAGTTTGTGTACCAGTATCGCGGTCTCACACAGGGGAGTGCTGTCCTTCTACAGCCAGCATCAGGCAATCCAGATCGCGGAAATGATGTCGCTGGTGTCGAGTATTGCAAGGCACCAGCTGAAAAAAAGGCTCCACTCCACGTTGTCAACGATCCAGAATCTGAAAGCTGCGCTTCGCAAGCTCGGATCCTCACGCCTCCCCAACTCAAATCAGGTGTCGGTCAGATCGTTTGTTGTTGTACTGCAAAGTTACCAGTTTTTGCTCGAATATCTTTTAGGCGTACGTGACGCGATGGCGGAACCGAGCCAGGATGGCACTCTACTCGGCATGCTCTCCAGAGGTTTCCAGAAGTGGGTGTCGTTGCCTTCCGTGGTGGCCGTTTTTGTCAACTGGCATGATGAGCGTCTTTGCATGCGACAGGTTGCTTGGGACTGAGAATTTGGAAATCGTAAATCCGGAAGGAGGGAAGGAAGATGTCTTGGATGAAGCTGCCAAAGGAAGATTCAGCAACCAGGTGGGGTTCATGACCAGTGCTGCCAGCCTTCGGAGAAAGAATCTTTGCTGCTGACGCTGCTGTTAACTGGTGCAGGAAAAAGAAGGTTATTTCAAACAAGCTCAGAAGTACATTGGCGCTGACGTCACTTCACTTGTCACGCTTCCTGTCATTATTTTTGAGCCCATGACAATGCTTCAAAAGATGTGCGAGGTGAGTCTCCGTCGAAGCTTTATTGTACGAGCTGCCGTCGCTGTGGTTTGACCTGCGATGCTCTTGTATTGCAGCTCATGGAGTACACTGATCTACTCAACAAAGCGGACAGCACAGACGACCCCAACATGAGGATGGTCTACACAGGTATGAGCCTTTGTCGGATCTCATCTCTTCGTTGGTTCCGTTTTGTGTGTTCTGATATCGAGCGCGTTTGCAGCGGCGTGGGCGGTCTCTCCATATGTGGCATTCTCAAGGACATGGAAGCCCTTCAACCCTATTCTCGGCGAGACATTTGAATTCTCGAACCACAATGGCATCACTTTTGTAAACGAGCAGGTAGTTTTTACATTCTTCAAGGGTTGGCGTGTTGATAAAACTGCTTCTCATTTCCCATAGTTCCATGCAGGTGAGTCATCATCCGCCTATTTGTGCCGGGCATGGGGAGAATGAGCACTTCGTCTATGACTGCACCTCAAAGGTCAAGACAAAATTTCTTGGGAATTCAGTGGAGGTTTATCCTTTAGGAAGGTACGCATTCAATAAAAGGTCATTGTCACCCACATGTCAGGTAGCTACCTCAAAATCCTAACTTGCTTAATTGCGCTGCTTGCAGGACGAGGGTGAAGTTAAAGAGGTCCGGTCATGTGTTTGACTTGGTTCCTCCACCTACTAAGGTTCAGAATATCATTTTTGGCCGCACGTGGGTGGATTCACCTGGTGATATGGTGCTTACAAACACTGCAACGGGAGAAAAGGTCGTTCTTTACTTTCAGCCGTGCGGCTGGTTTGGGTGAGTATTTTATCATACCCCAGGACATAAGTCACGCTGTGTGTTTTGGCTGGTTCTGTGATAAATTGCATCTTGTAGCCCGCATCAGTGTTCCGGGATCTGATGCGTTGTTGTCCTTTCGAATGATAACTAAAACAGCTCTTTTGCTTCATCACTTGTTGAGGACTTGCGCATTGCTGTTAACTTCCATTGCAATGCGTAGGGCTGGGCGCTACGAAGTGGATGGATACGTCTATGATTCTTCCGAAGAACCTAAGATGCTCATCACTGGCAAGTGGAACGAGTCATTGAGCTACCAACCATGCGATCATGAAGGAGAGCCATTGGAGGGATCCACACTGACTGAGGTATGGTCTTCAGGTTGTGTGCATGTTGAATATGCGTTCGTAAGCTTACTCTTTTGTATTTTATCTTGGTTACTGCAGGTTTGGCGACTTACCGACTTGCCTGAGGACGATAAGTTCCAGTTTACTCACTTTGCGAGAAAACTTAACAGTTTCGAAACTGCACCTCCAAGTCTGCTGCCATCTGATTCCCGCCTACGTCCTGATCGCAAAGCATTGGAAGAGGGGGACCTTAACCAGTCAGCATCAGAAAAGTACAGGTTAGTTTTGGCGAAGATCTGCTGCCATCAGAATTCGTGCATCGATTATGTCCAAAGGCTCAGCAAGTGCTGTTTAAATGAATCTGCAGGCTGGAAGAGCACCAACGTGCAGAGAAGCGTGAGAGAGAACAGCGAAAGGATGCTTTTGTCCCCAAATGGTTTCGTTCGTCTGGGGAGACAGCTGTCACACCATGGGGAGATCTTGAAGTTTACGAGTTCACTGGACTGTATGATGAGAGGAAGTCAGCTGCTTCCGAAACTCCTGTTGAGGATGTTCCCAAGCAGGAGTTTAGTCCATGGCAGTATCCGGAGCTGAAGGTTGAGGTACAAGATTCTCCTGTGCCGACTGGAGTTGTTGCTCTCTAGGATACCGTATGTTACTCTTTTTTATGCCAGGACGATTTTTATGGATTCATATGATATGAATGTCACTCCTTCCCTCTTCCCTTCCTGATTATGTATGTCCATGTGTCCCTCTAAAGCCCGTAAAGGAAATAAATGCACGCGTGTGCACATGCTACAACTATTATATGGCTCTATGGCTCCATTGTTGTTTCATTAGCAATTAATTCTGTCCCACATCATCTGCTTTCGAAATGTGGTCAGTACACTTAGTCTTCACCTGTTCGTGTAAAGCAAGTCCAGTGTACATGCAGGTCACAAGTCTGTCTTGTTCTCTGTCTTCCTCTCCTACCAGTAATAATTCACTTGATTTCAAACCATTTCTATGCAACCCAGAAATGATGCTGCTGTACTTCAATAATGACTTCAAGATTGATTGATGCCAACACAGGGATTTTTTTTTTTTTTTTTAGTATGTCCACATCATATTTTCAGAAAAGCTTGGGAAACTGGAAGAACGGTTTTGGCTCCTCGTATTGGGCCTCCAACACCGCAATTGTCTCGTCGATGTGCTTCTCTGGTTGAAACTGGTTATTGAAAATGAGCTGCAGTAAGCAAACGGGTATGCAAATGTCAGAACGGATAATAGTGCCGAAGAAAATAATGACTCGTTTGCAGCGACTTACCTGCACGACGCCCTTCTTGTCGATCACATAGGTTTGACGCCCAGGAAGAACCCCAAACAAATCACTGGGGACGCCCCACTCCTTGCGCACAGCGTTGCCCTCGTCAGACAAAAGAGTGAAGGGTAGGCTGTACTTCTCGGCGAACAGCTGCAAGATAAGAAGAGCGTGATAAGAGCGTTAGTAATTGGCACTGGATGTCAATCCTCCTGGAAGCAATTCACCATATTATCAGCAAGCACCTTGTGAGACTCGGGGGAATCGCCGCTGATTCCTACAACTTCAGCACCTAATTTGCGGAATTCCTCAAAGGAGTCCCGGAACGAGCATGCCTGCAGCATCAATACGTGTGTTAGACAAAGATAGAGGGAATGGGCTACCCAACAGTGAGTTAGAAGAGCTGACGAAGCGTGAACATGCACCTGCTTGGTGCATCCAGGAGTGTCATCGGCGGGATAGAAATAAAGAACCACGCTCTTCTTCCCTTTAAGCTTGGCCAAGTCGAACACGCGACCATTCTGGTCGGCCAGGCTCAGAGGCGGGGCCTCGTTCCCAACGGAAACCTGAATTCATGCATAAAATGACAGCATCCTTCTTAGCAGCTGCGACTAGGACTGATTACATCATGCACGCGCAAATCGTGTGAAATCCGAACCTTGGCGACGACATTGTTAGACCGCTTAGAAACGAACGCTGAAGACTGCCGTTTGCTGACGGCCTTTAAATTGAGATTTCCGCCAACGAAAGAACCTGAGAGACTCGAAACGCCTTTCACAGATGGGAAGGCCTGCGCCACGAAGCTTCCCGAAGAAGGAACGACATTGCAAAGAGCAACGGAGCTAAGAGCAGCCATGACGAAATGACTCACTATAATGCAATGTGACTGGGAATAACTTTGAGTAAGCCAGTCAACTGGCACAAGAATGATCAGTGGGTGATGGGGTAATGACTTAAGCACTTGCCTGGACGAGATTGAAAGAGCAGAGCAAGAGCGTTCCAGCCTTTTTGGAAAGCCACATATAATGGAACGCCACGTGTGGTTCATGATCGTTCAACTTCGCTAGCCAATTGTGCCCACTTTACAGTCCAGGGCCGTGGTTGTGGAGCGGAGGTGTACAAGATGAACATTCTGAAGCAGGAATCGTTTCTGCTTACAAGGCGAACCCAAAAGGCATCTCAATGTGAACTTTAATCTTTCCTAGCAGCAGTACCCGCAAAATATAGGACAGCATCCTGGTGGCAACAGAGAATTATATTGTTTTGGACCCTGAAAAAATGTGTTTTCCGACATCCATACTAGTATCACCGCTTTCTGCCGCCACCTGCCTTCCCCTTAGGTTGTCCCCTCCCATTGCCTGCAGGGCCCTTACCCTTCCTGCCCTTGCCCTTTCTGGCATTAGCCTTGTCAGCACGCAGGTCCTTCTTCATGCGCCGGTCCACCATGATGCTGTTCTTCACGCCGCGCCCGCGGTTGCCCTGCTGCCCCTTCTTCGCCACTACCACGATCTTCTTGGGCGACCGCTCCGACGCCACCTTGCTGTAGGCGCGCTGCATGAGGCGCCCCTTGGACCGCTCGTTCAGGTCCGGCTGCTCCGAGATGGCCGTTGCCTTCTGCCGCGCCGCCTCCAGCTGCTTCATCAGCCGCCGCCGCTTCCTGCCCTTGGCCTCCGCCACCTGGAGAGGGGGAGAGGAGAGTCAGATGGAGGGACAGGCACAGGCGAAAGCTGGCAGGGACAGGTGCCCTCTCCTTGCTGCATTGTGGAGAAAAAAACACTCTACTGACTGGCTGCTTACCTTCTTGGTGGGGCGGGCGTTGATGGCGCGGAACTGCGCCTTGAGCTCGAGCACCTCGTCCTTGCTGATGGGCTTCAGTGGCACCATGTGCCGCCGCTCGTCGTCCGCAAACCACTTGGGCAGCGCCTTGGCGTCGTCGTCAAACATGTACCGGTTGTACGCGTCGTCCACCACCTCGTCTCGCTCTCGCTTTCTCAGCATGCGCCTCGCATACGCCAGCGTCTCCGCCTTGCTGTCACTGTCCCACTCCTCCTCCTCCTCCCCCATCGCCCCCCCTCCATGCCCCCCTGCAGCGCCCCCACCCCCCGCGCGTGCATGCCTGCCCCCCCTGTGCGCGCCATGTGCCCCCCCACGGCTGTCACTGTCGCTGTCAGAGCTGTCATCAGAACTGTCCCCATCGCTGCCACTCAGCCTCTCCTCCTGCACCACCTCAAACCCCGCCTCCTCCTCCTGCTTCCCCGCCCGCGCCCTCTTTCCCGTGCCTTTCTCGACGTCGTCCTCCCCTCCCGCCGCTGTGCCACGGAGCACAGCCGTCTCAGTTTGAGATTCCTTCACCTTGCCAGCTTTGCTCTTCCTTGCTGCCTCTCCGCCCCGCCCATCACCGACCACGCCCGTTACTCCTCCGTCATCAACGTCTGCCACCTCCCCTTCCTCCCCCTCCACTTCCCCCTCCTCTTCCCCCTCCTCCCTCTCCGCCACCATTTCACTAGCCTTCCTCACTTTCTTCTCTCCTCGCTGCTTCTCCTCCTTCCCTCCTTTTGCAGGCCCTTCACCTCCCTTCCTCCCAGCCGCGAGCGGCACTGCACCACCTTTCTTCGCCCCACCGCCTGCACCGCTCGCTTTCGTCCCGTCATGCGCCTCCTTCACCGCCTCCCCCGCCAGGTCGAGCCCCTCGAAGAGGTCCTGGGTGAACCACTGCGCCTGCACGCGCTCGCTCGCACTGCTCTCGCCCAGCCGCACCACCAGCGGGTTCTCCTCCTCCTCGCCCTCCTCCCCAATGTGCACCAGCGCCGCCTCCTCTCCCCCCTCTTCCCCCCCCTGCGCCCCGGCGACCTCCTCGCCGTCCTCCCCCTGGCCGTCCAGTGCCATGAGGCGAGCGCGGGCCTTGCGGCGCTTGCTGCTGGCGGTGGCCTTGCAGTAGTGCTCGTACGCCGTGTCAAAGTACGCCTCCAGCTCCGCGTCGTACCTGCCACACGCGGACAGAGGGCAGCGCGAAAGATGAGTCGCAAGTTAAGTTGGGGCAAGAGAAAATGAGTCGAGAAGCAGCTACAAATTGAGTCGTGAAGGGTGGGAGACTGGTGGAATGCGAGAGACATGGAGAAGCCGTGCAGATGGGAGTGCCTCACATGCCACCATGCCTCACATGCCACCATGCCTCACATGCCACCATGCCTCACATGCCACCATGCCTCACATGCCACCATGCCTCACATGACACCATGCCTCACATGCCACCATGCCTCACATGCCACCATGCCTCACATGCCACCATGCCTCACATGCCACCATGCCTCACATGCCACCATGCCTCACATGCCACCATGCCTCACATGCCACCATGCCTCACATGCCGCCATGCCTCACATGCCGCCATGCCTCACATGCCACCATGCCTCACATGCCACCATGCCTCACATGCCACCATGCCTCACATGCCGCCATGCCTCACATGCCACCATGCCTCACATGCCACCATGCCTCACATGCCACCATGCCTCACATGCCACCATGCCTCACATGCCACCATGCCTCACATGCCACCATGCCTCACATGCCGCCATGCCTCACATGCCGCCATGCCTCACATGCCACCATGCCTCACATGCCACCATGCCTCACATGCCACCATGCCTCACATGCCACCATGCCTCACCTCCTCTTCTCTGCATCGCTGTCATCATCTTCACTCCCCTCCCCCACCTCCTCCTCCTCCTCCTCCTCGTCACTCTCCTCTCTCTCCATCTCCGCCATCTCCTCTGCATCCGGTGCCTCCGTGTCATCCACGCCGCTCAGCTGCTTGCGCTGCCGGCAGGAGACGGGGCCATGGCGATGGGGAGAGACGGAGGGAGGGAATGAAAGGGGGTCAGTTGGAGGGAGAGGGGAGGCAAGCGAGGACGGGAAAAAAGAGTGATGTTAGAGCAACTGCGATTGGGCGTGGACAGACGGGTTAGAAAAATGGAAACTGGAAGCAGTGGATCGGGCGGAAGGGAGAGAGGAGGCAAGAAATGAGGGGGAGATTCTGTGAGCAAGAGGAGGGCCAATCGCAGAGGGCCAAGAGGAGGGCCAAGAGGAGGGCCAAGAGGAGGGCCAAGAGGAGGGCCAAGAGGAGGGCCAAGAGGAGGGCCAAGAGGAGGGCCAAGAGGAGGGCCAAGAGGAGGGCCAAGAGGAGGGCCAAGAGGAGGGCCAAGAGGAGGGCCAAGAGGCCGGCCAAGAGGAGCGCTGCGAGGCACCTTAATGGCGGTGAGGGCGAAGAGCTCATCGTCGGCGGCAATGTCAGTGTCGCCCAGCGCATCCACCTTCATGCCCGTCGCCGTGCGCACCTTGCTC